CTCCGCCTGCTCTTGGCCCTAGGACCCCGGGCAGTGCCCCCAGGCTATCCACTCGCTGAGGCCGGGAATGTCCCGCAGCTTGTCTGGGAGGCTCTGGAAATAGCTCCTCTCCCCGAACCACAGACCTCTTATCTTATTTTTCATCTCTGCAAGCCTTCTCAACATGGGTGGATTGTCGGGGCCGAGCTTAGATTTGTACCGGATCTTGGATGGTTTAGAATAGACTGTAACCTCAGAGTTCACGTCAACCTGTCATTCCTCGCTTGACATCAATCAGTGCTCTTGCGGGGAGGGGGCGGGGGGGGGGGGATGGGGTATGTGTGTGTGAGAGAGACTTGGGAGTTGTCCTGTTTACAGCATCTCTGAAGTTTTCAAGACCGAGAAGAGCCCAACATCAAGGGGTGATTGGGAATCATGCGAATAAATTGGCTGATTTGTGGCAACTTTGAAATTCTCCAAATCTTGTCTTCCCTGCAACCTTTTCTAACTTTGGGCTGTTTTGAGTGTTTTTGTTTTGGGGGTTTGTGTGTGTGTGTGTGGGGGGGGGGGAGAGCAGATTAACACTACAAATCAATTTTGCAAACTTTTACGAATTAAAAACATAAATGGAATTTGTGATACCTGAATTTTTTCCCTTCTATCCATATGATGAGGATGAGACTTTTTTTTTCTTAGCCTGATTTTGGCCATGTAAAGGAAGGATTGATGACAAGTTGATGACATTGTGTTACAACACTGACATTCTCTAGGTTTCCCTTTCAAAGCAAATCCCTATGGAAGTATGTAATTTCAATAAGTAAAACAGCCATCCAACATAAGTATTTATGAGTGACTTAATTGTGGAGCACTTAGTGTGAGCTGTAAATAAATAGTTATGACCTGTTCTCTATTAAAGAGCTGCCATAAGTCACCACTTGATTAAATTGCCAAATGAATGCTTATAAACAATGCTGTTGGAATTCAGAGGTGGAGGCAGTCTTTTCAAAATAGGATGAGCAGCAAAGGTTAGTTGAAGAAGGTGGGACCGCCTTCTTTATCATGAAGAATGGGTAGAATTTGGATTGGGGTGGTAATGGTCAGGTGTTTCTGTAGGAGGAGGAATTTAAGAAAAAGTATAAAGGCCAGAGCTTAAGGTTTATTCAAAAGAATGAGAAAACCAGTTCGATTGGGAGAAGGATTTGAGCTAGGAAAGGAAAAGGAAGATATAGATGTCAAAGATATTTTTAAAAGCACAAAACAGGATTGATGAGTGCAAAGAAACTGGTTGTAGGATGAACAGAAGAGTAAAGGATTTGAGATGAAGATGGAAAATAGAATAGTTCAGACATACCACTTTAGAGGTGATGGTGGTATATTTAAGTTAGAGTGCCCAACTGAGAGGTGGGAATGTGGCTTTGGAACCTACCTGGGATGGGAAGCATACTTTAGATGTCATCTGGCAAGCTATGAAAGTAGGAGAGATTGCAAAAGTGAGGAATACAGGGAAAGAACATCTAGACCAGGGGTCCTCAAACTTTTTAAACAGGGGGCCAGTTCACTGTCCCTCAGACCGTTGGAGGGCCAGACTATAGTTTAAAAAAAAACTATGAACAAATTCCTGTGCACACTGCACATATCTTATTTTGAAGTAAAAAACCAAAACGGGAACAAATACAATATTTGTATTTGCATGTGACCCGCGGGCCGTAGTTTGAGGACCCCTGATCTAGACTGTGAATACATTTCCTAGATCTGTAAAACATTTTATTTTCAACTGTTCTTTTTTTTTTTTTTAGTGACATCTATTGCTTAAAATTCTCCCTCTCTAATTTTTATGTTAACTCTTGTGACTTTTTACTTTTTTTTATTCTATCCCAGAAAATAATGAAAACCTTTATTATATGTGAGGAATGTAATAATAATTTGAGCTATAAGTCAAACTTTAAAGAAAAAATATATTTTTTTATTGATTTCAGAGAGGAAGGGAGAGGGAGAGAAAGATAGAAACATCAGTGATGAAAGAATCATCGATCAGCTGCCTCCTGCACGCCACCCAATGGGGATCAAGCCCGAAACCCAGGCATATGCCTCTACTGGGAATTGAACCGGTGACCTCTTGTTTTCTGGGTCGATGCTCAACCACTGAACCACACCCGGCTGGGCATAAGTCAAACTTTTTTAAGTGCAAAGAAATTGTAAAAATAAATTTTGCAGTTTTACTACTTGTAAAAACATATCTTTTCTACTATTGGCTTACATGTTCAACTTGCACAGTTTTATTCTTCTTAAACCTTGATACTGAGCAGGTCCTAAGGCTACAGGAAAACCTCTACTATGCAGAGATATTGGGGACTGAGTCATCCTGAGGGACCAAGTTTTGAAGAGCTGAGTAGTAAGCTATTAGAAGCCAGACATAATTTAAATGGTTAGAAAAGTTTTTAAAAAAAGAATCATATACTTCCTTGCTATGTGAAAATAACAGTACATAATTTAGCTCTTGCTCATAGTTTGACTTTCATTTGATGAATATCAATATGCAGATCATTTTATACAGACTGATGGTTACCAGAGGGAATGTGGGGAATTGGGTAAAAAAGGTGAAGGGAGTAAGAAGTACAAATTGGTAGTTACAGAATTTTCATGGGGATGTAAAGTAAGGCATAGGGAACATATTCAATAATATTGTAGTAACTATGTATGGTGCCAGGTGGGTATTGGAAATATTAGGGGAACACTTTGTAAAGTATATGCTGTACACTGTGCTGTATACCTGAAACTAATAGAACATTGAAGGTTAAAAAAATGATGTAGATTAATTTTACACTTCAGTTATTTTGATGTGTTGATTATATATGATGTAAATATAGAAAATATGGAATATAGGACAGACCTGGTAGTTAAGTGTCTTTCTTAAAATGTTTGCTTGTTTTTCTCCTCATTTCCCTCCTTCTCACCGACTGACAGTAATTTGGGGAGAGGGAACACTGGGAGTATAAGAATAGTAGATGAACCCTGATGGGGTAGCTCAGTTGGTTAGAGTGTCGTCCTGATATGCCAAGGTTTCTGGTTTGATCCCTGGTCAGGGTACATACAAGAATCAATCAATGAATACAGAATAAGTGGAGCAACAAATCGATGTTGCTCTGTCTTTCCCTTCTTCTCTTTCTCTCTTTTATTTTTCAATAAGAAAAATAAAGGAGATAAAGATATCCTGTGGTTAACAAAATGAGATTAGTTTTCTTTTTCATATGATTGGCAAATCAGCCATATGAGCAGTTCTAGAAGAATTCCAAAAGTGTTTTTGAGCAATATTAACCTTTAAAGGATGTAATCATTTTGGTGCTTAAGTTCTGGTGGGTTGGTGGAAAACAAACCAAAAGTAGGTTATTTACTTTATAGTCATAGCTTAATGTCAGCTCTTTAAAATGATTTAAAAATGAATAAGAAAAGAAGGCCTAGAGACTGCTACAGTTTTAACTCCCATCTGTATTGTAGGTTAAAACCTATAGTAGAAATTATTTTGGACAAATGTTGTTTTTGTTTTTCTCTTAAGGCTTAATAGAGGCCTTGCATATCTAACTTCATATTAAAGTTTTTTTTCTTTTTTAACCATTTGAATTAACATTTAGATATATTTGGAGCATAAAACTAATATTATTAAATTACATTAATTAATTGATTTTTGAGAGTACGTTTGTTAAAACTAGGGACAGTAAAACAAGGAAGGGTTTAGAATAGAAGAGGCAACAGGAGAGAGTCTGGGCGAGGCTTCTTAGGCTCAATGAGAAGTCAGAAAAGGAGGCCTTAGGCAGGTTCAGGGGGTTAGGAGCTGCTGCTGCCTATTGCTCCCCTGGTTGCAAGCGTCATGGGGACGCTTAGAGTTTAGGAGTTTCATGCCTGTGGGAGAACGTGATGGGGAAGGGAAAGGTGTGGGCTTGCTCCGGTGGGGAGAGCGGAATGTGCCTAATTTTATTTTTGTTATTAACAGAAATGGATGATGAAGATTGTGAAAGAAGAAGAATGGAATGTTTAGATGAAATGTCCAATCTTGAAAAACAGTTTACAGATCTCAAGGATCAGTAAGTAGTGGCTTTAGAAGGTCATTGTCACCGAATCTCAACCATGTCACATGTATAGTAGCACAGGAGAAATTTTATTCACTCTGAACTGTTTTTTTCTTTGTGTGTTGTGGGACTGACTGATCTGAAAGAGGCTTCTGTTATTGTTTGCTTAAGACTTTATTAACTAAACCGAAGGTTTTGAGGCAGGTTTTTTTGGGCGGAGTAATAAGATTTCTATGTGGATGTTGGGTCTAATCTGCTTTATTCATTCCTTTGTTAAATAATTGGGTAAAGGTAGCATTTTTAAAATTTGAGTATAAGAGAGAGTATTTCCCAAAGATGGCAGAGTGAATTTTGTTTATATCTTAACGTTGGATAGTACATACATGATTTTACATGCATATTTAGTTTGCTTCTGGCAGTAACTCTGTAAGGTTGGAAGATAGTCTTATCTCCATTTTGCTTGTGAGAAAATTAATGGTCAGAGAGGTTAAGTGATTTGCCCATAGTTCATCAGAGAGTGATAAATTAAGCCAGGCTTTCTGCCTCCTAGTGATATCATATTCCTTTCACTAAGACACATTACTTTGGAGGAAATGTAGTGGAGTAGAAAGAGCACAGGCTTCACATCCAGGCTTTCTCAACCGATTAGAACAGTATAATAATAGCTTCTTTATTATTGAATGAGCAATGTATACAATTCTTAGCCATTTGCTTGGTGTGTAGTAGGTGCTTATTAGATACACCCCACTCCCCTTTATAAAACCAAACTCTTATGTAAAATTGGTAACAACGAGAATAGGCTACACTGATTTGAAAGAACAAAATAGATGATGATACAGATTTTTAAAAAACTCTTAAAGGTGAGCTTTCAGTTATGATGTTGCTGGCAACGTCATGGGGCGGGCATAGCTATGTATTAGGAATTGTAAATGAAAGAGAGAAATTTCTGAGAATATAGATACCTTCCGTGTGTGAAGACACTTTGGTATATGAATTCTTTGTAGTTTTGCTGCTTATTCTTTTTCCCCCAACCATTTCCCTAGAGAAGCCCAAAGAAGAGATGAAAACTCATTTAATATCTGGAATTGACAGGCTAAAATGGGACAGATTTGTTTACCATAGGAATCCGGCTATTTATGCAATTTCTGGTCTTAACTTTCATTGGTAGTAGAGATGAATATGTAGATAATATTCCATGCTAGTGTAACGCATTATAAGCAATTCAAAATCATCCAAAGTTTAAAATTTTGGTTTTAAAAAACATGGTATCATTTTCTTACTCTAAATATTTACATTATTAATATTAAATTAAAATGAGTTTAGATCGCCAAAGAATCCATTATTTGGGAAACATGAAGAGTTCATCCATGATCATTCTGGTAAAAAGGAAACAAATTTGTATTTTTCTATTTTAGCACAAGTAATCAATGAATGAATAATTCTCATACAATTAATTAAGATATACCTGTTAGGTTTTTAAAGTTTATTTTATAGTTATCCAAGAAATGAAAATTATTGTAAAGCTCTAGTATAATATATTACACTAGTGGCCTGGTGCACAAATTTGTGCACATTGAAAGGAAATTAATTAGAAGAAATATTTTAATATCGCTATTCGCCCTTTCTCTATAATAGAAGTGTCAACCAAATTCACGATTGACAATGACAGGTCGAAACACA